GATCGACACCCATGTCTATACTAGTAAATATGAAGAAAGTTGGAAATTAAGAAATGAAAAGGGCACCTGTAGAAGATCTAAAGAAACACCCAAGTTCCGCTCCTTTATTAATGTGTTCTTTATATCACAGACCCGACCGCTAGTGCCGCTCATACGACCTCTAGTTCTGCTCCTTTATTAATGTGTTCTTTATATCACAGACCCGACCGCTATAGTGCCGCTCATACGACCTCTAGTTCTGCCCCTTTATTAATGTGTTCTTTATATCACAGACCCGACCGCTAGTGCCGCTCATACGACCTCTAGTTCTGCTCCTTTATTAATGTGTTCTTTATATCACAGACCCGACCACTAGTGCCGCTCATACGACCTCTAGTTCTGCCCCTTTATTAATGTGTTCTTTATATCACAGACCCGACCGCTAGTGCCGCTCATACGACCTCTAGTTCTGCTCCTTTATTAATGTGTTCTTTATATCACAGACCCGACCACTAGTGCCGCTCATACGACCTCTAGTTCTGCCCCTTTATTAATGTGTTCTTTATATCACAGACCCGACCGCTATAGTGCCGCTCATACGACCTCTAGTTCTGCCCCTGACCTCTCGTTCTGCTCCTATAACCTGTTGTGTATGGTCATAATTTACTGTAGTATCTTCTAAAAAACTGCGTTCTAACCATTCATTTCATAAAACTGGATAAGATCATGTTTTAAAGTTTTGTTCCCACTTAATTTTTGCTCATTTTAAACATTCAACTACATAAACATTTACATGTAAATCAATTTCAACAACCTAAATAATAAAGATCACAAACAAATATTCTGCTTGGTTGAGTGTTATTATATTGCCATTAAGTTCACATTATAAAATGGTAATGTATCGCATAGATTATGTATGGAGTTTCTAGACTGAACCGATGAACGTTATTTTTTTATGTACTTAACAAAGATTTTGTTAACAAACTTCTCCATCAACTCAAATTTACACTGGAAGAAAAAAACTGTGACCTGATAAAAAATAGAATGTGCTTTACCACAGAACTAGTTTTTAATTAAAAGTTTGTTTTCTTTCAAAGATTGGATCAGAAAAAAATTATAAATATGCTACAAACCCTGTGATCAGGGGCGGCGATCCCGGGGGGACGGGGGGACACGTCCCCCTCTCATTTTTTTTTAGGGGGGGGGGGATCGTCCCTCCCTGAAAAATTGAAAAAGTGAGAAAAAAAGTGTATAGAGTGCAGCGTTTATAGACAAATAAAAATGCAAAAATCTTCTCGCTCCGGAGCTACGCTCCCTCGCATAATATTCTCTAAAGTGTACAGTAAATATTCTAGAAAAGTGAAGTGTGAAAAAGGTATATTGCTTGTTTTTATACTATTCTTTTGCTAATTAGAGTATGTAATTTGTTAATACAACAAAACTTCAAAAACCTGTGAGGGGATAGTCACTTCCGTATCCTCTACCCCTCTCGTTCACTTTGCCTTCTCGCCTTGGCGTAATGATGAGGAGGGGGGCTTGGGGGGCAGTTGCCCCCTAATAAAATTAAAACTTGATTTATTTCTAACTCGATACCAGTGATTTACAAATGTTGCTGAAATGGAATGGTTTTTCCCTGAGCTTCTGGGGGCTCTGCCCCCTGGACCCCACCAAGGGTCCTATGGCTGGCCCCTGTTTGCTCATCTGACCGTTATTAAATGCCTAAAACCCCTGAGCTTCATGGGCCTACGCCCCTGGACCCCACCAGGGGCTCTAAGACGAGCCCCTGGATGCTCATCTGACCGTTATTAAATGCCTAAAACCCCTGAGCTTCATGGGCCTACGCCCCTGGACCACACGCCACTTTACGCTCCACTTGCTATGCTCCATTTGCTCTACCTAATAAAATACTTTAGCCTCCCCCTCTATGAAAAACGTTCCGCGAGGCCTGCATGTACAATGTTAGAGTGGGGATGCGGATTCCCCCCCCCCCCCCCGTTTTTGTTCAATATATACGCCACTGCTCCCCCGTCTCTTACATTTCGTCCCCCCCCCCCCGGTCATGAAAAGAAATCGCCGCCCCTGCCTGTGATACCACATACAGTATTGGATTGTACAAATTTAACTTTTTCAGCAAATGACTTTAGTATCAAACATAATATGCCCAGTCTGACAATATAAAATATCAAGTATCCAATATCAAGTATTTCACAAAAGAATAAGTAATCTATTTTCCCTTTATTATGTTAGCTCCCCCCCCCCCCCCCCCCCAAGTTCTTATGGCTGGCCGTACAAAATATTACAACCCAAAACAAAACAAAACAAAAACCACACAATTATTCACCATCTTGTGTGCAGGGTTGGGTTAAAATATAATCGAGAGCAGAAAGAATGACAGTATCATCTTTCTGACGACGTATTTGGGCTTTTCAATAGCTCATGCTAAAATGAATTTATGGGCTATATATTTCTTAATATATATTTATATTTATATCTATTTTGTTTTCAGTGATATTTTTTATATATATTTGTCTAAACTCTTAAACCTCAACTTACAACACGTAATTACCAATTTGACTATCATTATATTTTTTATTTTTTAAAAAAACAACTAAGAAATGCATATAAAATATATGAGATACTGAAACACTTACTGATGCAATGTGTTGACTACATCGATAATAAGCACGAGTTGAATACTTGTCGGTTGTCAGTCAAAACAAACTTTACAAAGACATGAGGAGTATAATCTTGAAATCACATCAAAAAAGGAATCATCTTTAACAGCGCTCAATGAAACTATGAAGGGTTTGGTTCAATTTAAAAAAAAAATCATATTTATTTGCTCTGACATATTTCCCTTTGCTTTTTACAACTTCATAGTCAGGCCCTAGTAACTGATTATTTTCACTATGACATGAATTGTTGAAATGAACAGATAACCAATACTATAACTTGTTCATGGATTTGAATATTATATGTTATTCGATGGAAACTTGAATACATACAAACTCATTTTTTGGTTTTGGTTAAGGGCTGAGGTTGACTTTGCCTTTCCAGTGCTACAGCATCAAAAGGAATTCAGGTCGCTGAAGCTCATAGATTTATATCCTGAACATGTCAAATGTATACCACTTAAACATATTTTCATAGATGATACAAAAATGTCCCCACATCACTTAATCACATAATACTGGACACTACTAGTTGCAGGACATATTTGTGTCCAGCTATTGTTATGCATGCTGAGTAATAAAGGAGCAAACGTAAATATACTGGACCTCAGTAGGGACATCAAAGGATACATAACCATCTGTTTTATTAGAACTTGTATTTTTTCTTTAATTCTAAAAAGAAAAGAAAAAAAAAAGATTCTTGTTGTTGTTAAAAACCTGCATTGTAAGTAATGGTCACTGAACCGATTGATCAATGGCTGAACTAAAATTCATATTAAAATTTCTCTTTTATGATTAAACAAAGTATTTTGGACATCTATCCTCAACATCAAGCTAGGGATGAGCAAAATATAAATCAGCTGTTACATACCGTACGTGTTCGAGTTTGTATCGCGAGCGCTGTATAATGAATATGCATGAAGTGTGACGTATATTTTGACTTGACCACGCCCCCGACCTCTAGTGCCGCTCTTCGTATGCTATCCTGGCCGCGAATTTTTTTTCCGTACTCGAGAGAGCAAAAATCCCATGTGCGCATGCGCGTGGACTTATGATTTCTCTGCTACTTCCCATACGAAATGTACATGTATTCGCATGTACTGTGCACGATTCGCGTTCTACGAGTAAACGATGGCATAGTAGTCTTCAAACACAGACTCTGATTTGCCAGTTTGACAAATCAATATGCGTATGTGTCGCGATGTGCTTATTCAAGTCTGTGTAGTTGTATGATTCAGACCCAGTAGTGCATATGGAAATACATTGCAACTTGTATAGAATGGTATAGTAGTCTGCAAGCACAGACGCTAATCTGACAGTTTGACAACATACTAGTAGTGTGCTGAGAAGTACTTTATTCAAGTCGCCAACTTGTATAGAATGGTATAGTAGTCTGCAAGCACAGACGCTAATCTGACAGTTTGACAACATACTAGTAGTGTGCTGAGAAGTACTTTATTCAAGTCTGCGTAGATGTATGATTCAGACCCTACTGGTGCGTGCGTTAGAAATGCATCTCAATGTGTAGAGTGTAGTATAGTAGTCTGCAAGGACATAATAATATATTGTGTATTGATGAGTAGTGATTTTATGCAAGTTTGTGTAGTTTAATGATTCCAGACCCCATGGTAGGCCTATGTATTGTGCCACTGCTCTCTCACACTCTTTCTCTCTCTCTCTCTCTCTCTCTCCATATCTCTCTCTCTTTCTCTCTCTCTCTCTCTCTCTCTAGCCCTCCCTCCAGTATGCTCGCACTACTATGCCACTCTGCAAGTTGAGATGCCTTTCCAATACACGCACCAGTAGGGTCTGAATCATAAAACTACACATATTTGAATATAAAGCACTACTCAAGACACTATGTTGTCAAACTGTCCGATTAGCGTCTGTGCTTGCAGACTACTATACCATGCTATTCAATTTGGGATGCATTTCTGTAAGCACTAAAATGTCTGAATCATACAACTACTCAGACTTGAATACTAGTACTATTGCTACGCACGATATATGCGTAATTGTTTTGTCAAACTGGCAAATCAGAGTCTGTGTTTGAAGACTACTATGCCATCATTTACTCGTAGAACGCGAATCGTGCACAGTACATGCGAATACATGTACATTTCGTATGGGAAGTAGCGGAGAAATCACAAGTCCACGCGCATGCGCACATGGGGTATTTGCCCTCTCGAGTACGGAAAAAAAATTCGCATCCTGGCCTGTACTGCTACTGAAGAAGAATTGAAAAAACGAACACCCACAAAAGTCTACACATGGGACAGTTATAAAAACGACGATCACCTGATCACATTAGGCTGCATAAGCATCATTCAAAATAACATATGTTCGTACCTTTTGTCGTTTAAAAAGATCTAGGAATTCCTTGTATGCAAGTCGAAACACTGTACATATGGTATTACACAACGAGAGTAATAAAAAGAAGTAAAAATGAAAGATCTTGGAGAGAATCGAGTCGCCGCGATCGAGCGTATGGTATCGTCAAGGCAAAAATATAGAAATCATAAATTGTGTCTTTTTTGTATTAAGAACTAGGCCTAGCTAGTCGGTTACTGATCAACCAATTATACAGATTTTAAATTCATCGTTGAAGAGATTTTTCAAAAGAAATAGTATTGTGGTGGGACATGAACACATTAGTTTCATCAGGAAATATAGAATGAATTATAATAATTTAGATGAATTGCTGATATTATTGATATAAATTAAAAACATATACTATAGGACCCTGGGGGTCGACTCCGCATCAAAAAGGTTTTGAGGAAGAATGATTAGTGTCATCCATTACTGAAAGCGATTTGATGAGTAATTAGTTGCCATAAAATGCCACGTATACCGTAAACATATAATATTTTCATTAAAATAACACGATCTAATTAAAGTATCAATTGCCTTATTTGCTTAAATCAAGAAATAATCTAATCATATATATTTGTTGGAATCAATAGCGTTGGAAACTTTAAAGAAGAGCTGTCGATGCGGAGTGTCCCTTACGAACACCATTTTCTCTTGTTTTTCATAATCAAACCTTTGTTAATCCAGGGTTTGCTACCACGTTTCTTTCATTTGTAAGCCGGGGAAAATGTTTATTATATGAGCCAAGAAATAGATTTAAAAATGAACTATAAAAGATATTATTAAATATGTATTATGATGCATTTAAGGAATAGTGATGGTAACCCCGAAGTACATCTTGGCTATCGCCTTCCCCTACATACACACGTAAATGCCCCTCCTGCAATAAAAATGCCAATTTTCTCTACACTTTGTTTAAAGTTAATCCATCGTGCTTAGACTCTTTCTTTAGTATGACTTTCCGTTTATATATATTGTTAAATCATTGTTGGTACCAGCTTATTCCAATACAATTACATTCTGTTGGCAATCCATTTTATCCCTCAGGACTATATGCTAAATAATTGTCTCTCACTGCCTCCCGGTTATATTGGGAGCATGTGATTGTATTCGATGAAGACTTGCAGAGCAATTCCTGGCCTATAATTATCTTTTCTACGCCCAGCTTTAAACCTTAATTCTCTTCGGGGGCTTAATCAATTGCGTGTTATGATTAATGTTGGTTAAACTTCATGCGTCTTGTTGTGGTGTGCACAATACAGAATCGTTGATATTATATTTTATCTTTTATAAGGAGTATTTATATTATATTTTTGTTATATTTGTGTTTCTTTGTTTTAATGTATGGCAAACATCTATCCTCTTGTTTCAAGTAAAAGTGTGAAATATAATGAACTATGCGGTAAAGGTTTAAAATTTTTACAACTGAATGTTGTTAGTCTTTTAAAATATTATGATGAAATTAAGGCTATTTTGTGTGAAAATGTGATACATGTTTTTGCTTTGAATGAAACTAGACTGGATGACAATATATTCGAGTGTGAAATCCAGATACCTCACTATATGTTATCCGTAAGGACCGTAATAGAAACGGTGGAGGTGTACTGACTTATATTCATGAAAGCTTGGGATATGAAGTTTTGAAACATAGTTCATTATCGCGAATGGAAGCAATTGCATTATTGATACGGCAGAAAAACGCCAGTCCCATTGTATTTTTTAATTGGTACAGACCTCCGAATTCTAAAGCGGAGATACTCACTGATTATGAAGACTTTTTAGTGTATGCCAATGGTCTTAATTTTCCTATTATTGTTATGGGTGATATAAACTGTAATACTTTGAAAATCCCATTAGAAGGTGCAACCAAGAAATATATTTAAATCAATGATATATATTGTATGAACCAGATCAATACGGCCGAATATACAAGAATAACTAACAATAGTGCCTCTTTGGTTGATCACATGTTAACTAATTATGATGAAAAAGTTAAGTCATTTGGTGTAATTCATAATGGTTTGAGCGACCATTCCATGAGTTATTTGATATGGAAATCTCCTCAGATACAAAGTTCTGTAAAATATGTTACTTTTAGAAAATCAAAAGGGATTGATAATGAACTATTTAAGTCTGACTTACAAAATAACAATTGGAAGGCTATAGAACGTATTGATGAGTTGAATGAAGCTGTGTGTAAATGGGAAGAGCTGCTGTTGGAAGTTGTGGATAAACACATGCCGTTAAAGACAAAGCGAGTAAGGAAGAAACATTCGCCATGGATAGATGAACCTATATTTAGTCTTATGGATGAAAGGGACAAAACGAAAGACAAAGCAAAGTCAAAACAAGATGGTGAATTGTGGAAAAATTACAAGAAATTAAAGAATAAAGTTACAGCTGAAATTAGAAAAGCTAAACGTAAATATTACTGTGAAAATTTAACTGGAAATCAAAATCGTAGTAAATCTTGGACGTTGTTGTCATCCATAGTCCCTAACAGTCGCTCTTCATCGTCTATTCCTATTATTGAAGGAGATGTCTTGAAAACAGCAAACAAATTTAATAGCCATTTTGCAAATGTCGCTGTTGACACTTTGAATGATGATTCGTCAGAGCAAGATGTAAATTCTAGACTGGACAATCCAGTATCGCCCAATCTAAAACAAGATTTTAAACTTTCTTTTGTTACCGAAGATGAGGTATTAAACGAATTAAGGAAATTCCCAAATAAAAAATCGGTTGGAGTAGATGGTATTTCTCAATTTATTCTTAAGTTAGCCGCTGATGAAATTATTAAACCAATAACATATTTGATAAATAAATCAATCAGAGATGGGGTTGTGCCTGACGTATGGAAAATAGCAAAAATTATACCGTTGCATAAGAAGGGTGACAAGTATAACCCAGATAATTATAGGCCCATTTCGTTATTGCCATGCATCTCAAAGCTTCTTGAAAGAATGATACAGAAACAACTCATTCAACACTTAAATGTAAACGATATTATATCTGCTCACCAATCTGGTTTCAGAAAGAAACATTCAACGTGTACTGCGCTTGTCAAGGTGACCGACGACTGGTTAAACGCAATGGACCAGGGACAATACACAGGGTCAGTCTTTGTTGATCTACAAAAAGCATTTGATTTGGTGGATACTGATATACTGTTACAAAAGCTCTTACTATTAGGCGTCACATGTGAATCGCTTCAATGGTTCAGGAGCTATTTGGTTGATCGAAAGATAGTGACTTGTATTAATGATGTAGTTTCTGATGCATTACCATTGACTGGTGGGGTGCCGCAGGGCTCTCTACTTGGCCCTTTATTGTTTGTCATATTTATTAATGATATGCCTCATTCTTTTGAAAAATGTAAAATACATCTATATGCTGATGACACTGTGTTATAATAATAATATAATATAATTATATTATTACTCCCATAAGAATCCGTCTGTTGTACAGTCAGTTCTCAACGAGGAACTAGCTCGATTAGATACATGGATATCTCGGAATAAACTGAAGATTAACTACAGCAAGACCGTGGGTATGTTAATTGCAACCAAAAAATTGCTGAAAAAACAAGATAAATTAGTTTTGAAAGTTCGAGGGAGAGATATAATCCAAATGCATAACACAAAATACCTAGGGGTAATCATTGACTCAGAATTGAAATGGAACATTCATATTGAAGACATGTGTAAGAAAATTGGAAAAATGGTTGGATTTCTTGGTCGATTGAGACATTATGTAAATGAAACTAATTTGAAAATTATATATCAATCTGTTATTCTCCCGCATTTTGAGTATGCAGACAATGTGCATGTGGTCGTCATCTTCTGATAAATATCTTGATCGGTTACAGAAACTACAGAATAGAGCGGGGAGGATCATTTTGAAGATAAATCGGCAGTCATATATATCCAATCAACAATTGCATGATATCCTAAAATGGGATACTTTGTCCCTACGGCGTACTAAACACATGCGGTAACCCGACACATGCTCCGCCGACGATTGCTCCGCCGACATTTACTCCGCAAAACGCGACAATTGCTCCGCGACATTTGCTCCGCGACATTTGCTCCGACGTCAAATGCTCCGCCGACAGTTGCTCCGCCGACAGTTGCTCCGCCGACAGTTGCTCCGCCGACAATTGCTCCGCCGACAGATGCTCCGCCGACAATATTGCTCAACCGACAGATGCTCCGTCGACAATTGCTCCGCCGTCAATTGCTCCGCAAAACGCGACAATTGCTCCGCCGACATTTGCTCCGCCTGAAGCGACACTTGCTCCGCCGACATTTGCTCCGCCGACAATTGCTCCGCCGACAATTGCTCCGCCTGAAGCGACAATTGCTCCGCCGACATTTGCTCCGCCTGAAGCGACAATTGCTCCGCCGACATTTGCTCCGCCGACAATTGCTCCGCCGACAATTGCTCCGCCTGAAGCGACAATTGCTCCGCCGACATTTGCTCCGCCGACATTTGCTCCACCGACATTTGCTCCGCCGACAATTGCTCCGCCTGAAGCGACAATTGCTCCGCCGACATTTGCTCCGACGACATTTGCTCCGCCCAAAAAGTGTCCCATAAACTACAAATGCTACTAGTACTACGACAAATGCTTCGCCGACAATATTTTCTTTACACCTATTTTTTTCGTTTCTTTTTTTCTTCTTCATTTTCTGAATGCATTTCTTGAAATAATGTAGATGAAATGAAATGAATGAATGTTGATGAAGTGGGAGGAAAAAGGAGTTACCTAAAAGTCATTTCGAATATACTGAAATAACTTTCCATCTATCACTGTACGTCCCATATAATGTATACTAAACACTCATTACATGTCGTGGGAAGTTTTTAAAAAAAAGTAGAGCAGCAAGCCACATTCCCCAATACGCGCATACCTCCTAGTTAATTTCAAGTAGCTCATCAATATGTAATACCTGAAATTACCTCGATCAATGCATCTTACTAGGTAAAGCATTATACAATGTAATAGGTCATCATGGAAGTTTAGAAAATAAGTAAGGGGGATTTACCAAGTGTTGATCTTTTTAAGAGTTTTATAAAGAAACAAAAAGATATTGAATATTTCTCAGCGAAAAAAAGGAACAAG